TAAGCCGTATCTGATAACATATAAAGTCATTAAATCACATGGTTTTCTACACCCTACAACGAAAAATATGATGCATCGACAGATGGAAACCAGATAAAACTAATCTTCATGGATTGACTACTTTCCCTGGGGCTATAAAACAGTGTAGGGTATAGGATCCACTAGAATGCCATTCACAACACACATCCTAAACACTGAAGTCGGTGCCCAAAGTTGGTACCACCTACTGTTCATATATGCACAGCACGTTCTTGGAGTTACTGGCATTTTGTTGTCACCAGATGCAAGCAGTTCTCCGGAGACAAAAATGGTCGAAAGTGGAAGGTTGCAGTGCATCGTCAGTTCAAGGAGAACAATTTCACAAGCGTTGAGCGAAACTACGCGACTATATATTTTCGACTATTACGCTACATCTTGCTCATTAATAAAAACTCTTATTACTGTAAAATTTTATGCAAAGAGTTTGCGGAAATTATCACAATTATTAACCTTTCGAACACTGAATCCAAAAAATACAATCTTATTGACAGATAATACACATAACCCACTGTTTGGATTTGTGGAATTTTTAAACATAAACACATCTATAATTGTATATATTGTTGGATTTATATGTTCAAGTTGCTCCAAGTCAGTGAGTTTATGGTTAAGATATCATTTTAGTTAACTGTACTGAACTATATTGCATGTTGTCTTATTGTATAGTTGTCGTCGCTTTTTGCCCTTTTTTCTGTGAACTGTTTCCTTTGTTGATGTTGTTCTCATTGTTTGTCCGTTATTTTCTGATTTTGAGGGGAGCAACCCAAAAAGTTGCTTCTCTCTAAACTTTTACTTAATGTAATCATTCTTTTCTCAGGCGTGAGGCTAGCAACCCCACCCTGTAAACAAAATTGCTAAAGAAACTTCAGTATGATGAACCTCCTTGCACCAAAAGAAAAAGTCTGTGTAGGAACATGGAACGTCCGAACTATGTACGAGACTGGAAAGCTGCCCAGATCGCCAACGAGATGAAAAGATACGGAATACAAGTGCTGGGAATATGTGAGAGCAGATGGAATGGGAGTGGACTCACCAAATTGTCAACAGGTGAGTCAGTGATCTACTCCGGTCACCCAGAAGATAACCACACGCACACCGAGGGCGTGGCTATCATGATGTCACCAACGGCAACGAAAGCCCTGATACAATGGGAGGCGATTTCGTCCAGGATAATGACCGCCAGGTTCAACTCCAAAGGAAGGAAAGTGTCAATCATACAATGTTATGCACCCACAAACAACGCAGACCTCGAGAAGAAAGAAGAATTCTACAGGCAACTACAGGCAACAATGGACAATACTCCAGCTGGCGACATGAAAATACTAATGGGAGACATGAACGCCAAACTGGGACCAGACAATACGGGAAGGGAACTCATCATGGGTAGAGAAGCTCTAGGAGAAATGAATGAAAACGGAGAACTCTTCGCCGACTTCTGCGCCTTCAACGAACTGGTGATTGGTGGCAGTGTATACAAGCACAAAGATATCCACAAGGCTACATGGGTGTCACCAGACGGGCAAACCAAAAACCAAATCGACTTCATCTCAATCTCAAGGAAGTGGAGGCGCAGCCTACTGGACACAAAAGCAAGAAGAGGAGCAGACGTTGGCTCAGACCACTATCTCGTACAAGGGACAATCCAAATCAAATTAAAAGCTTTCAGGGAATCAGGAGCTGCAGATAGACCACAAGCCAAGTTCAACACTCAAAAGCTGAAGGACCAGGCTACAAAGGACATCTTCATTGCAAGCATAAAGGACAAAGCCGAGACACAAATCAACACTAGCGAAAAGGTCGGCGTTGAAAAGCACTGGAACAACTTGAAAACGGTGTGGAGCCAAACCTGCATAGAAATTCTAGGCAGAAAAAAGAGACAGGACAAACAGTGGCTCACTACGGACACTTGGAAACTAATAGAAGAGAGAAGGACAGTGAAGCAAAAGATTATCCAGTGCACTGACGAGCAACAAAAACAGGAGCTGAATGCAAGCTACAATACACTGAACAAAAGAGTGAAGAAAAGTGCCAGGGAAGACAAAAGAAAATATTATGAAACCATGGCAAACGAAGCAGAACAAGCTGCAGGCAAAGGAGACCTCGCCACACTCTACCAAACAACTAGGAACCTTTCGGGCAAACGTTCGACACAGATTAAGCCAATAAAGGACGACAATGGAAAGTCAATCACCAAAGAGGTGGAACAGAGAAAGCACTGGGTTGAACACTTCAAAAGACTTCTAAATCGTCCGCCACCTACAACACGTCCAGCAATACCAACAACGGAAGCAGAACTACCAGTGAACACTGACCCCCCGACGAAATCAGAAGTCCTGAATGCAATCAAGATGCTTAAAACTGGGAAAACACCGGGACCAGATGGAATCCCAGCAGAGGCTTTGAAAATAGACCCAGAGACAACAGCGGACTTGATGACACCACTACTGGAGAAGGTGTGGAAAGAGGGCAAAGTACCCGAGGATTGGAAGAACAGTTACTTATTCAAACTTCCAAAGAAAGGAGACTTAAGTCAATGTAAAAACTGGCGTGGAATTATGCTTCTGTCCATTCCAAGCAAGATACTAAGTCGCATCATCCTGGAGAGAATCAAACAAGCCCTAGATGAAAAACTTCGTCCGGAACAGGCTGGATTCAGGAGAAACAAATCATGTATTGATCAAATCGCCACTCTACGGATCATCATTGAACAAAGCTTGGAATGGCAGTCACCTCTCTATCTCAACTTCATCGACTTTGAAAAGGCCTTCGACAGCGTCGATCGAGAGGTCATTTGGAAACTACTTCGCTACTACGGGGTCCCATCGACAATTATACACCTCATCCAACAGTTATACGACAATGCTGCATGCCAAGTAATCCACAACGGGAAACTTACGGAAGCCTTCGAAGTGAGGACGGGAGTGAGGCAAGGCTGTCTACTATCACCAATGATCTTCCTGATTGCAATTGATTGGATAATGCGACAGACAACGGCAACCAACGAGGGAACAGGCATAAAATGGACTGACACAAAAGACTTGGAGGATCTGGATTTCGCCGATGATATATGTCTGATTTCCCATAAACTGGAAGATATGCAAGTGAAAAGTAACAAGTTGGCAGAAGAAGCATCAAAGATAGGACTTCACGTGAACATAGATAAAACAGAGATGATGAAGATTCCTAGCCAACATCAACAGCAACAACAACAACAGACCACAATAAGCATAAATGGGAAGAACCTGAAAGAAACAACCTCCTTCACCTACCTGGGAAGCATCGTCTCAACTACAGGCGGAACTGACGAGGACATCAAAGCCAGAATCGGAAAAGCAAGACAAGCTTTCATTACTCTCAAATCTGTGTGGAGGTCAACAGCAATCAGCATCAAAAATAAGATCCGGATTTTCAACTCCAATGTGAAGTCAGTGCTACTATACGGATCAGAGACTTGGCGAGTCATAAAGAGCATCTCAAACAAACTTCAAACCTTCATTAACAACTGTCTCCGCTCAATACTCAAGATCAGATGGCCAGAAAAGATCAGCAACAGGGATCTCTGGGAGCGAACCAATCAGGAACCGATTGTGAAACAAATAGGCAGAAAGAAATGGAGATGGATTGGCCATACGCTGAGGAAACCATCAAGTGACATCACTAGACAAGCCCTCGAGTGGAACCCGAAAGGGAGGCGGCGAGTTGGTCGTCCAAGGGTGACTTGGAGGAGGTCATGCGAGGAGGAGATGAAAGCATGTGGACAGACCTGGAGCAGGGTGAAAAAGTTGTCAGAAAACCGAAGTCAATGGAGGTGCGCAGCTGAAGCCCTATGTTCCTCTAGGAACTAAAGGATACAATAATAATAATAATAATAATACGCGCAAAGAAGTACTGTAAACCCTATCAACATAACAATTCTTCTAACACTAGTTAATTCTTGTTGTGGCGTGTGCTATACAAATGCAGATTGATAAGAAACGGTCCAAAATTAGAATCAACATTTTAAATCAATGGCCGCAGGGTTAAAAGTGTTGATACCTCAAATCCGGATTTAGTTTACGTTGTCGTCTAGATATAATCTCATTGGACAACTCTCCATCCCTTGGGCTAATCGCCAACCAATCGGAACAGTTTGTTGTGGTTAAAAATGTAAAAATGTGATGCATTTTCTCTTCATAAAAAAGTCCGTTACCACTTCTCTTATATTCTGCTGCTACATTATGATTGTATGAAAGCCTCTCTAATCACGCAGTTATCCCTTGAAAAGCTAGTCAAATTTATAGTGCCAAAATTTTCTAAATTCTAAGGTCTGTTGTTTTATCAGTGCCTTTAGAATATTGGTGTGATAAAGCCCAACCAAAAAATCATTTATATGTGTGTACTTGGGACTTAAAGGTTTCGGTAAATAACCTGAAATATGTGATTAAACCCTATTCAAATTGCTGAAGTTTAATTAGGTGATCAGGATCACCAATCTTGACAAAATATGCTTTTTGAATAGTATATGATTAGTGAACTTTTATTATTATTATTGTTCTGCTAAAAATAACTCTTGTATTTCCCTGGATAAAAATGAAAGTGAACAGGTCTTTTGTAAAATATAAATTTAAAAAACTAGCTGATAATTTGAACCTACAACCTGTATGGGTAACCAGCTGTTTATAGGTATATGATGGTTGAAGATATAAAATGAAATATGGGTGGTCACAACGATACATGAATGGACCCCAATCCCATACCATTTTCTTTATTTAAATGCAAACTTGGTTCAATAAATACGGGCACCAAGAGATGGATCCCAATTCTGCCACCAACAGTGATGCGAAACAGAGAGACCAGAGAGTGAAAAGCTGTCAGAAATATGTGCAAAGTTCTTATATTTTACAAAGAAAAATATGCACGAATCTGATTCACTAGGAAATACAAATTAACATCATATAATTACTAGTGACAATGATACTTACCAACAACTAACAGGATCGGAAGAGCACATTTGTGGGTACCAACAATAGTCGTAAATCAATTCATTTTCATACATAGTTAGAACAGACCTCTGAAAAAGTCAAACAGTTAGATAACTGACCTACTACAATAATACGTCATCACATCTTGGAAATATAACTAAGAGTACGTTTACCGCTAGACAAGATTAGATCAACTTCAAGACAAATCACCTTCCCAGTCTTTTCTAATACCTTGAGCACTCAAATCAAAAGACCTATTTGAAATGGTGGAGATTTATAGCTCAGGTGGATTTACTCAGTGTTGTGTCCTCCAAGCTAGATGGTTTAATTAAATCAATATCCGGCTCAGAGGACACAACAATACCAAAGACTTATTATTCTTTAAATGCCTTAAGTGAATAATTAAGAGTTCTACACATCTATGCTATGTATCAATCTATTTCGAACATTTAATACAAGATTTAGTAACCTTGTAAGAACTTAGTTCATATGGATTAGGCATGCACCACAAATATTCAAGACATATATCAACTACTTAAGTCTACCAAACTCTATAATCTCATACGACCTATTCTCTCCATCTAAAGCAATTAGCCAGCTCGACATCTTCATTAAAAAATAAGATGTTGATGACTAAGATCACAGCTTTGTAGTTAGCCGTCTAGTTCCTGAGAGTTGAGTTGTATGTGTTGTTTTTTCTGTTTGACCATTGTTTGGCGTATCCCTTCTTGTGTTTCCTAGTTTAAGTTTGGTGATTTGAGCGATGATTCAAGGAAAGCGAAGAAATCAGTTTTTGAAGCGTCTTCAGTGTTGGAGTTTAACCGCTTTTGCAATAGTTGTTGTTCTATTTTTGATAGTGATTGTTTTAATAGGTTGACTGTGCAGTCAATAGTGTTGTCTGGTTGTTGTTTCCTAATTTTGACTAGCTTAGTTTTGAGAACTTTCCGTCTTTGTTCTGTGTCTTCTATTTGACACTGCGACTGCGGTGATCAGAGTTGACAGGTGTTCTTGGCTAAGGGTTTTCTCCAGTTTACCTTCTTAGACATCCATTATTTGTTGATGTTTGTTGATCCGATAATATGCATCTGTAATCATTAATTTGACCATTCGTCTTTCACACTGTTCGGCCAATTTCCATCCAAATGGGCAGTTGACTGATGGTTTGTATTTAACACTGGTTGGTAGGTTTACCAGTAGTTAGCCCTCAATGAGCACTCTTAGATTTAATCATCCAAACATGGTAACTTAGCAAATAAACTTTTCTTCCAAATATTAGCTAGTGAAATATATTTTCAAGTATGAGTTTTGTATGGATTTTTGTTTTATTGGTTGGAGGATTTTTTGACTGCAGCTTGATTCCACACTGTATTTTTGGTACAGGTATGCAATTTTCAGCATGTGACATCGGTAGCCCAAATTATACAGGCCGACCACAGATATCAGGTGTGCGTCGGCAGGAGATCGAACCCCGGACCATGTGCATCGTCGGCGAGAGTCCCAACCACTGTGCCACTGACGCATCAATATCATCAATAGCTGACACCAGCTAGAGAACCTGGGAGCACTGGACAGCTGCTTCTTCCTAGTTTGGGACTATTCATCAGTACGTACCCACCGCCAGTGTTCGAACCCATGACCTTCTGGTTACAAGGCCAGCTAGCTCGTAGACCATTAAGCCACTGGGAGGCGATCCAGATGAAGAGTCCCAAACTAGGCTGACGAAACAGCTATCCAGTACTCCCGGGTTTTCCAATGGTTTTCGAACTGATGTCAGCTAATGATGAAATCCTCCAACCAATCAAGTGAAATATATGTTTAACAATTTACAACAATTCACATAGTTGGAATAGCTAGTAAAATAACTGGTTTACATAATTATTCTCGCCAAGTAGTCTTAAACAGCTTTAAATGCCACTATTATCTGGTTGAGATCCTGATTATCTTCAAGTCATCCTACTGTTGAACACTAACTTTTCAACACTGATTTATGCAAAGTAAGTCACGCGACAAAAAAAATGAAATGTATCCATAAAAAAGCAAGATATACATACCATTTCTTCCGGTTCAGAAGAAACCTCTATATTAGGTGATAAAATCGACGAAGGGAGATTGAAAAGCCGGAGAACATTATCATGACTATTAGTCAGAATACAAGAACCATCTGGTGACCTAAGAGAAAATAAAATTGTACCAAAATTGTTCATGTACCAATTATCAAATGAAAAACTGATATCTAGAATCACTGAATAGTTGGTGATATGAAATAATTAAGTGGTACTACTGGAATATTTAATGTCTCAAAGCGGTTTTCTCATTGTAAGTCAAAATCACCCAAAATGAAGTGCTGACTATCTAAATTATATCTATATTTATTAACGGCAGCGGCCACCAATGAACCAACAACAACAAAAAGCTTATAGGATCAGAAATAACCTAATTTATTTCCAGGAAATGAACCCGCATTTCAAATGTTAAACACTTTTAACTTCTGAAAAATATTTGTTCACAACTCCAAACTCTTCGCTTCCAGCAAATGGATATTGGTAAATAATCATGAATTCAGTGTGACATAACGTGGCATATAAACCTAAACCAGGTCAATTATTGATAATTTACTTACTTATTATTATTCCCTTGTGTTCTAAGAAAAACATATGGCTCTAGCAGCGCACCTGAATTCCACTCAGTTCTCCGCCGTCACGGTCAGCTGACTCTACAACTGCCCATAAGCTTCTCTCCTGACACAATCTTCTCCATTTCACTCTAGGACGCCCATTTCATTGTTTCCCATTCAGATTTCACTCGAGAGCCTACCATGTGATATCACTCAACGAATAGTCTGCTCAGCTTATGGCCAATCCATCTCTATTCCCTTTGGCATATTTGTTGGACAATAGATTCTTCGTTCGTTGCTATTGTTCTTCATCGTTTATCCCTTCTGGATATCTGATCTTCAGTATGGAGAGAAGGTAACTGTTGATTAAGGTCTGCAACCTGTTGATGCTTCTGGTGATGTGCCAAGTTTCTGAACCATATAGGTTCACTGACTTGACATAGTGTTGAAGATCCAGATCTTGTTCATCATGCTGAGTGCAGCGGATTTCCACTGATTTAAGATGAATGAAGGTCTGCCTTCCTTTTCAGATCTTGCCTTTGACATCCTCATCTGTGCCACTTGCAGTTGAAACGATGACAGCTAGATAAGTGAAAGAGGTGACTTCCTTTAGATTTTTGTCGCCGACATTGATTAATGTTTGGTGTTGTCAGTTAGATATCATCACTCCTGTCTTTTCTTTGTTTACTTGAAGTCCTGTTTTCGGCTCTGGCATCTTCTACCACATTTTTGGTTCTCACCCTTATATCTTCAAGTTTGTGTAACATTAGACATAAACCATCTGAGAAGCACAGATCTTCTGTAGCCTTCTTGTCAGTCCAACACATACCCGTCTTTCGCTCTCAGTGGTAGGTCGCATGATCCACTCCGCCACAATCAGGAACATCATCGACGACAGTGGGCAATCTTGTTTCATTATTAACAGCAAATTTTCAGCCTATTGATTTCACATAAGTTTTTCAATTAATTCAGTGGGTTTATGGATACATTCTATTGGATTCTTTCTAGTGGTTACGTATATACTACTTAATTAACGCATGACAGTCAAACTGGCCTAGGATGACGACTCTTTATTTTCCTGCAATCGAATTGCACTTTGGCTAGACATATGTAAAACACAGATCTGTCACCTAAAGTATCACGATATTATAATCATACTGACTGAGTAATCTGTATTAACCAAGAATCCGTGCCTACATCTACATTGCTCACATGAGTTTTCTACTACAAATGTGTAAGGTTACAAATGCAATAGTGGTAAAATATTTGAAGTTCCGCATATTTTTTTCACATTTAATTGACTGACTGACTCGTTTCAACATAGAACTTAGCACAGAAGTGCAGCAATTCAACCCGCCACACACCATGTATCACACAAAGAAAGAAAAAAGAGATTCGAAAGAACGATAATAAGTAGAAATGAAGGAGAGAAAATAGCAAAACGGAAAAACAATAAGGTTTAACGGATGTGACATATCACAAAGAGTGAATACATCTGCACCATTGAGAACGACTTTCAACCATATCACCAACTGTCTACAACCATTAGTTCCAACATCCTGAAGACCCCAATCAGGAAGCCTCCCTAAGCAGATCAAACTAACTGTCAAAGATTTCATGGACTGATGTCAGGTTTTGGTATGATCACCCATAGCTATTTTCCCACCCGATCCAATGTTAGCTAGCATTGCCCATCGAGGAAGGCGATGGCCCGGCACATGTCCTAGCCAACTCACTTCATGCAGTTACACAAATTCATTGACTGATTCACCCTCTTTACCTAACACTACGCCTAACCTCAATATTACTCATCATAATATACCAGCTAACATGAAACAGGACGCAAACACCCATGGTCAAAGAAAGCAAGCCACTTCCGGTGGCCGTGTCTCACAGCCATACAAGAAGACGGAGAAAACTGCGGAACAGTATACACATTCTTTGACCATCAGCCGGATGTCACATATACTCCAGAGGTGATGTGAGTTGGCGAGTGCCACGCGAGCCCTTCCCAAATAAGTGAAGTGGTTAACACGCTCTACCACTTCACTCCTTATCTTTAAGATGCAGTTCAGTTGAGTCCTGTAGCACCATCGTACATTTCACAGGATCGAATCATATACGAAACATTCGAAGGCTTGTGATCAAGGTGTTCAGAAGATTACATTTTATCAGCGTTCGATTCTTGGAGGACAATATCACCTGCATTATTAAGGTTAACAAGACTATTTCCTGGTAAAAAGTCAATCACAAGTTGCTGAAGTCAGTTAGGGTCAATTACATTAGTACATCCATGTTGGAATTAAAAAGAAATGGTGACACCTGGCATCCCTGACGGACACTACTGGTTGTTATTACTTTGGATGACAACTCTCCATAAGTTCTTGCTTGGCCACGTGAATTCGGGTAGTGCCTTGATTATTGCGATTTACTTTTTTGGCACTCCCTCCAGGGCCAAACATTACCATCGTACCTCCCGATCGACGGAGTCAAATACCGCTCACAAGTCAAAAAATATGGTCACTGTTGGACGCCAGTAAGTGGGTCTATGATCCAGACATGATCAATACACCCTCTTCCTGGTCTAAAACCTGCCTGGATTTTTTGCGTATTTCTCCCTAGCTAATCTCCTTATAACTGTTACAGGAAGACTCGTTTCCCTTCTTATATACTGGGATAATCAATGACTTACATCAGTCTAAAGGGACTATTTCTGATTCCCAGACATTGCCTACTACCCCAGTTAACCTGGATAACTATTTATCATCACCGCCCCTTAAACACCTCTAAAGTTACTATTTCAAGTCCGGCAGCTTTGCCTGGTTCGGATTAGAGGCAGCTTTAGAAACCTCAGTTAGGGACGGAGGACCGGTGTTTGTTCAAGCTAAAGAAACAATCAGTTCCAATACAAGTAACCTAGAAGGTGTGAGAACACACTCTTTCACTTTTGTCGCCCAACAATGTTCATGATTGTTGCACAGACTTTTTGTCAGTTTGCGTCGATCATCGCTGTCAGTCAGTCGGCAAGGAACTCCGTAGGTGTCACCAACATACTTCCCAGACTGATACAACCCCCCTACTTGGGCACTGAAGTTACCTGCTAAAACGACTACACCTGAGCACTTTACTTTTAGTAGCAAACCAGACAGTTTTTGATAAGAACTCATCCTATATTTCGTCCGAACTGCTGTCTGTCTGTCTGGATTCAACATAGAACTTGGCACCGAAGTGCACCAGTTCGAGTTGCCACGTTCCAATTGGCACACAAGGTAGACAAGAAGATGAGTGAAGAGAATCAATAGAGTTTGACAAATATAAGAGTGAAACAGAATGGGTAATGGTAGAAAGGAATATGAAAGATTACAGATTTTTTATACATCTGCGCCATTGATAACGATTTTGAGCCATGTCACCTACTGTCTCCAGCCATTGATTCCTAGAGTCCCGAGGGCCCCAACCCGGGAGTCTGCATCTCCCTACCTGACTCAGTTTAACTGTCAAGGATTTCATGGATTGATGCCATGCTTTTGTTTGGCCACCACTGGCTCTTTTCCAACCTTCACCTATATCAGCTAGCAAAGCCCGTCGGGGGAGGCGGTGGTTAGGCATGCGCAGCACGTGACCTAGCCATCTTAGTCTATGTAACTTTATAGCCTCGTCGATTGATTTTCCCTCTTTGCCCAACACTATACGCCTAACGTCAGCATTACTTACCTTATTAAACCACCTAACGTGAGACAGAGATCGCAGACATCTATGATCGAAAGCAGTCAACCTTTTCATGTCTTCAACGCGTATTGGCCATGTTTCAGAGCCATAGAGAAGGACGGAGCGAACTGATGAGCAGTACACACGTCCCTTGGTTGATAACCGGATGTCACGCCTACGCCAGAGATGGTGTAAGTCAGCGATCAGTTGGGGCGTAAACAGAGATTATTAAAAGACAAAGATATGTATCGCAGTCCTTTCTTCTTCCAACAGATTCGTTCAGACGGACAACACACATACGACTATCCACTGAGATCCAGCCGAGTATGGATTTTTCTCCCCTAGCACCCAATGCTATCCCTACATCCGCGAGTACCCGTGAACTAAATAAAGAATCTCCTGACACATGTAAGATGAATAAAGGACTATCAGTAGTTTTTTTTCAGGTCTCGACATTATTGGTCAGAGAATTAAGAAAATATAAAGAACCTGTCTGTGGGAGAGTATTAACAGTAGGAGGAAAGGAAGATGATGGCGGCGTAGATAAAGGTGGGTGATAAACAGGAGAGCTTCGTGTGCTTTTGGGAGCATGAAGGCGGCTGCCACTTCCAGACTGTCACACGTGACAGTTGATTTTTTCTTGGGGTATCTGAAACAGAATGTGTAGCATGACTGCAGAATACAGGCAGACAACTTCTTGAGGCCGGTCGCACATGGCCTGTTTGAGTTGGTTATTCAAGTTTTGTCCCTATTAGGAACACAACCTGCTACGGACCGCCGTAGGGTAAGTCAGGATGTACGAACTTCGGGATGACCTTTTCTAACCCCCTTCTCCAGAGTGGGGATGCAGTATACCTGACATGCTAGTCATCTATGAAAAACAATGCTGTCACATCCCTGTTCCCCAGCAATACGACTCTGCCCACGAACCTCCAAGAAGTGTGAACATTTCATATCATGTCGGTAACTGCTTTTAGTCTAATCGCTATCCTTACAACGTTTTAGGAACTCTAGGAAAATTAGTTCCAGCCAATGTAGGTCGTTGGGCCATTGAGATATGTAAGCACGACCACCACATTAAGGTAGTAACTTTCGGTCGGGTTTACATTAAAATGGTCATTAAACCATTACACCATTTACACTTAATGGCCATAATTCATTAAAAGGTAGAGCTTACTCCTGCCCTGTCTATTTAATGATTAATAGGCAAGCAAATAACTTGTCACCACCATAAACTACTCAATATGCTGAAGGTGAGAAAAGTCTTTGCACTTAAGCCAAGGCTTAAATATCTGCCACAAGAGTTGGACTTACCATAAACAACCTCGGAGATAGTTATTTGATGGAAATTTTGTAGATGACCGGAATTCAACATCAGCACGGGCAATCAATTTTGGAGACGTGCAAACCCAGTCTACTTTTTGATAAACATCAAATATTGGACACTCAGGTTCGTCAGATGGTAAAATACAGGAGTAACTTGTTTCATAATTATCTAATTCTTTCTCTGAAATACAATGATTTATTTTTAACTCAGAAGGCGATCCATTCGGTAACTCTTTATTAACTGCAGAATAATTATCAGTGTGAACAGATGTTTCCATGTGTACTGATTCTGTTAAGAACTGGTCTAATGATGGATCAGGTTCCTTTGACTCTATGTTATTTACACTTAAAAGATGAACAGGATTCCTATGAAGATTATTTCGTGTAATATCATCAACTGATTCACAACACTGTGATTCCGAGGAAATTGGGTCGGTGCATTTAAAAGCTTCATTTGAAGTGAGCCGAATGCCAGACAGTATAATATTCACAGAATCATTCCTCTCATTATCTTCATCGTTTTCCATCAGAGTTAAATCATCTTTTACAGGGGAATTCATCATTTTCAGCTTTTTAAAACAGCTGAATTCGATATCGACATGATTTTAGATGCTGCAAAGAATTAAGTTTGGTTGTTAAATTATATCAAAACGTCTGCTCTATCAAACAACGAAAAGAAACCTTTTTAGTGTTTCAAATAGACATTCTATTTAAATTATGTTTTACAAATACCAAACAGAAAGAGCTACTTGGTTAGCTATTTAATCAAGTTTAAGGCTAAATGAAACACCGCAAGAGCAACTTTTATCAACCTGTGGGTTGTTGACAATATAAAAACCAGATCGAATCAATTCATCTTCATAGTCAATTGTTGAACCTTTGATTAAATCGAGAGAGACGTTATCGATGAATACGGTAACTCCATTCTGTACAATAATTCTTTTAAACTTCATCTACTATTATTCAAAAACATACTGGTCATTTTCCTGAACTTTATCCGCAATCTCAAATTTATACCGAAATCCTGAACATCCCCCGCTGTCAACTACAACTCGCATATACACTCCTTTGGCTCCAATTTGTTTTAATCTCTAAACATAGAATATTAGGAAAGACTTATATTTGACTTACCTTTACAGACTTCTCAGTGAAAAATAAAGAAGCGTTGGAGGAACATTTGCAAACTGCAGTACTGAGTCGAGTAAAAACTCTCCATGGAAAATTTCGTGAAGTCCCTACTCTCAAAAATTGCATGAGCTGACTTTCTAACTTCAGCAGCTATTCGGAATTAAAAAGTATCCAGGGTAATCCAATGGTGAGAATCAGTAAAATAAGCTAACACTGACCATATTTTAGGGAATATCTGCTTTGAAAATTGAATAAAAAAGTAGGAAGTACTTAATTTGTTTAGTTAGAAACGAGGCCGAAAAACTAAAAACTGAGGCCATATGTCTCAGTAGTAATTATCTGAAATTTCGCTCTCACAACCACTTGTTCCTGGCTCAAACATAAGGCAAAGGAACTAAGTGTGCGATTCGCAACAGCACACCCACGACAAACACAGACCGTACTCTTATAAATGATTTACTGAATTTTGGTCTGAGCCACATAGGGAAGTGTATATTGCATGATTGATGCTGACGTTACCATCAAAAGCCATAATCATGAATTATGGATGACATTTCTCAGAACCGATCTAGCTTGTGCTAAATGATACATACAGACGGTAACTAAGGGATAACAATTTCGAAGAAATATATTAACCACTCAAAATCACTACTCACTGTTCAGCATCAGATACATAAGCTACGAACTAATGCAAGCCGATTGGTTTCATCACGCGCAACCATAATAAAAAATACATTAGAGACTAACGAAATTTACTCGATTATGTTCGTAAATTTCCGCAATAAACTAGAAAACTCATAGTGACAATTATAAGGAACCACTGTCTACACTAGCAATGAGGGAAAAAATGTGTACAACTTGGTCAGTGGTAATATATAACTCCATATTTTTTTTCCTTCACGTCCCCCAGTGGAACATAGGACTTCAAGCTAGTGGCTTGAAGTTTCTGTAGCAGTGTTTATTTTACAGGATGGGGTTGCTAGCCTCATGCCCAACCTTTCCTCTTTACCAGCATTATTTCTGGATCAGCGAGGTAAATGAGTGCGTCCGTGGCCGGGGATCGAACCGCGGACCATGTGCATGGTCGGCGAGCGTCCTAACCGCTATGCCACAAATGCAACTCCATATTAGTTTGTTTATTAGATATATCACGCAGTGAAACAGTATTATTTATTGTATATTTATTATGCTGTTTCACTGAGGGAAGAGATACGTGTTATATGATGCTTCCAATATCCTCGTTGTAAACCAAGCTGACTTATTCGCACCTGCTTACGGCTGATGCGAAATGGTGTCTTGTGAATTCTTGAATGATCAGTCCCGTTAACCATCTGATCTGGTAAACTACAACATCGGCGGGATAAGGGTTAAAAACAAAATGGGAGTTGGCTAATGTTACATATCTTGCAAGATATGGTGAATGCTGACTATTCGTTAATTGGGAATGAAGACTGATATCTAACCAAAATATAAAACGCCCATGATCTATAGTCACGTTCTTAACCGTTTTGTGACTTATTGCCTCTTAATTCTGATTAGTTGTGAAAAGTCAGTGGTAAGGTCTACCGAAGTGACTAGCACAGTTAAATCTCAACCGGGTGGCCATTTGGTAACACATAACACCAATGATGAAATTCGGACCAACCGGTCTTAAGTCAAACTACACGCACCTACTAATGCGTAGCAATTACATTCTGATTCAGATGATAAGGATAGAAGGCTCTTGTGGCCTGTGTTAATCCTTGCAAAGTATATCTCTGCAGAGATCTAACTTCTCTTTGAAAGCGTTCACCGATGGAGCTGATACTACTGAATCAGGTAAGGAGTTCCAATCGTTGACCACTCTGTGAGAGAATCTAAATTCTGCACGTATTTTAATCGTCCTTGGTTTGAGCACCTTTTTGCGGTGACCCCGTAAATGTATCCTAGAAGGGGAGAAAAGGTTAGAAAGGTCAGTTCCTAAATCACCCTTAAGTATACGGTATGCTAAAATTAAGTCGCCTCTCTTCCTTCGGTATGATAACGGGAAGAGATTTAAATGCTCCATCCTCTTATCATAAGGAAGGTGTGAGATACCACTAACTAATTTTGTTCCTACTCTCTGTACTCTTTCCAGAATATGTGCCTCCTTTTTGAAGCATGGACTCGTCGCTTGTATGCAGTATTCTAGATGAGGCCTGACATATGTTGCGTAGAGTATTTGGAACATGCCCTCGTCTAATCGTTTGAAAGCCCTTCGAATTGCCCATAGCATTCGAAAAGCTTTAGCTGCGGCTGCATTGCAATTTGCAGTTGTTTTCAAATCGTTGCTGACAATGATTCCTAGGTCCTTCTGTTCGTTAACATCAGGTAGTTCTGCATCCCCTAGGGAGTACGACGTATAAGACTTCTGACCTAAGTGCATTACCGCGCTTTTCCTAGCATTCATTTCCAAACTCCATAGGCTTGACCACTCAGCTAATTTATCTAAATCAGTTTGTAGGGCCAACCTATCCTCGTTATTGTTTACAGTTTTCCATACCTTAATGTCATCTGCAAATAATAATGAAGATGAAGAAAGAATCCCTGGTAATTCGTTAACGTATAATAGGAATAGCAATGGACCTAATACAGTTCCCTGGGGCACTCCACTGGATACTGCTTTCCATCCTGATAGTACACCATTAACTCTAACCTTCTGCCTTCTATCCATTAAGTAATCTCTAAACCACTCACATAGGCATTGGTCTAGTCCGAAACCTTTCAGTTTACTAAGGAGACCTAAGTGGGATACTTTGTCGAACGCCTTGCTAAGATCAATAAAAACCACGTCCAACAGATGGTCCCTATCTCTGGCCTCAACCCAGTCTTCCCTAGCCAATAGTAGGTTTGTCAAGCAGGATCGTCCTGGTCGGAATCCATGCTGTTCCACAGCCAACAAGCCATGTGTTTCAACATAAGCTAATAGTTGATCCCTTATAATAGTTTCCAGTACCTTTGCAATAATGCATGTCAGACTTACCGGCCTGTAGTTAGATACCAATTGCCTATCCCCGTCCTTGAAGATAGGGCTTATAATGGCATCCTTCCAGTCCCTGGGTAGCTTAGCCTGCGTCAGAGACATTTGGAAAATCTCCGTAAGCGGAATATATATTATATCCGCCAAGGAAAGTAACAACTTAGGGTGAAGTCCATCCGGCCCAGGTGATTTACCTGGCTTCAGTTTAGACAGTAGTTTGAGAACCTTTGTGTGCTCTACCACAATTGAGGGCATCTGAGTGGCGATGGCAGTGACCTCGCCATATCCCTGGGTGGTACTATCAGACGAGAAGACGTCACAGAAGTATTCAGAGAGGTTTTCAGCCTTCCCTTCGTCTGACTCAGCCGCTTCTCCACTAATGGTTATGAGTGACGGTATACCACTGCTAGTTTTAGTCCTACGTTTAATATACGAGTAAAACCTTTTTGGGTAATGAACGCAATCTAGTACTAATCGTCTCTCGTACTCTATACGACTCTTGTTAATCGCATACTTACAGAGGTTTCGAGTTTTGCGGTAGTCTTTCTGGAAGTTTTCCCTTCCTGTCATAACAAATTGGTCCCATAAGTTCTTTCGCCGTCTTAATAACCTCCTTATTTCACTAGTGATCCAAGGAGGTTCATGCGACGGCTTTCGAGGAGTGTACCAAGGTATAAAAGGTGAAGTGACACGATCTAGTGTATTCCTAAATCCTACCCAAGCTTCCTCGACAGTCTGACTTGTATCAACTGACCAGTCAACCACAGTTGCTGCGTTCCGGATTCCTTGTATATCCGCTTTCCAAATGTTTGGACGAGCAGATTTTGGCCTGTGCATGAGAGAATGAATCCTAAACGTAAAAGCAATGACTATGTGGTCACTGCTGCCAAGCGGCGGAAGGCACCTAATGTTACCAACGTCCTCCTTCTGGTGTGTCAATACCAAGTCTAGAGTAGATGGATCATGTTCAGGGTGATACCGTGTTGGTGCATGCATATGTTGCACGAGTGCACATTCAAGCACTGTCAATGTGAGCTCCCTATTGAAACAGGTATACAAACTAGTGGAGTTTAATTCCCCCCAATTAATATGTGGAGCGTTAAAGTCGCCAACAATCAGACACCTATTTCTACTACCCCACGCCCTCAAGTGATTTAGAACGAAGTCATCAGCTTGGCTAGCAGGACTTCTGTAGATAACTCCGATCGTTAAAGTGCCTTTGTTTAAGTTAATGATGCAACTTGCGGCTTCACTGGTGCCGCTGTCATGAGCTTCTGACAACGTTGACCTGATCCCTATGTCATCCCGGATGTAAAGAGCAACCCCCCCACCTTTCCGACTACTTACTCTGTCTGCTCGTATGCAGATATACCCAGGTATGAGTGGAGTTAAGTCTACACCCACTAACAACCACGTCTCAGTGATAGCAATTACATCAGGTTGTAGTCTTTCAGATAACTCTCCTAATTCGGCGAGCTTATTCCTAAGACTACATGCGTTCGTATAGCACACCGAAACACCTACGTGTTCACCCGGCTTATGAAGAGAGGTCTCGGCAGCATCGGTTTCCGAGACCTCACCACCCGAAAACCCAATAGTTTGAGGTCCTTCTCGCCTTTCTCTAGCCTGGCCTTTAGTTCAGCCACGGCTTCTCTTCTTTTGATTCTATCTTCCAAAGGCCAATCAGGCCTTATTTTTAGACTTTTGTCGTTGACTTTGAACGCGTTGTCGAGGATGGTCCTCCTCTCTGTTTCGTTCCCTAAAACTACCTTAAGTAGTCGTCGAGGAGTTCCTGTAGCATCAGGGTTTCGTTTTCCGATCCTGATAGCCTTTCGTACGTGTACTCCAGTTGTTTTTTCGGGAAGTATTTCCCGGAATATGGAGCTGATCGCCTTCAGATCATCTGCATGTCGGGCAGCTGGATCTGTGTTCTTAGATTCCTCCAAGTTCCAGATGATAATACTGTAACTAGAGTCCGTGGGTTTCTGAGTTTTGCTGGAACTAACAGTCGTCGAGACCTTGTTGGTAAACTCGGCTACTGTTTCTTTCCTAGTTTTGTTTAGCTTCTTACCTTTCGGCAGCAACCAAGTGGAGTCCGTTTCTCCCACTCTGTTTTCGCCGCGACTAGAAGCCATTCGTGCACTAGACACGCTGCGCTTTGGCGTTGCTATTTCACAGGCTGGTTTTGCCATGCTGGCACTACTTGCCCTTCTGGATTTCCGTTGCCTTTTGCGCTTTGCAGCAACAGATGTTGGGCATTTTGTGCTTCTTTCGCTTCTGAGACTTCAGGAGGTGATGCACCCTGAATCTTACAACTATGTCCTGAACCGCCATCCTTGGCGAAGGTTTCTGGTACAGGCTTTTCAACTATGTCTTTCGACAATTTCTTGGACATCAAGAGTCCTACTGCCTCTTGGATGAGGACATCTAACGGGTTGCTGCAAAATTTGCACAGCCATGGAGATGATGGCTTGCAACATCTCTTATAGGCTACTGGTGTTAAACCAGTGCAAACTTTGTGGAACCAAAGGCTGCAGTTGTCACACTGCATCCCATCATCCACCGGAAAGTGGCAGTCCGGTCGACCACAATTGTTAGTTGGGGCCATAATTTTAATTTGTTACAACTATACAGTTATATACGTCAAAACAGTGAGGTTAATGCCAAACAAATACACACTTATATATACGTGTGACAGCTAGGTAAATACCAACCAAAACACAAAATGTGAATAAAATAAACAACACTTGAACTAAATAAAGGGTGAGGATATAGACAGCCTGTCGGGCAGCCTGCCGACTGACGTAATTTCGAGTGCCCGCGAGTGAGATAAACAAGTGATTTACTAGCTTGTGATTGGTCTGTTTTATATCACCTGTAAGACTTCGTAGCGGTTTTTGCAAACTTTATTGGCTGTTTTGTTTGGTTTCTACTTTTTAAGGTGATTTCAGCTGTTCTTTAGAATAACTGGTAGTGCATATAGTCACGGTAGAGAGAATTAATGAAATATCAGTTGATTTAACCACTGAATTCAATGGATTAGTTCGCTTCCAAACTCTAAGGACTTGGAAGGAATGTGAAGAATGTATACGTCGTTTTCAAGAGGTGATAGGTTTATGCAAGTTGTAGTATTGGCATGTCATTAATAATTGTAGCGAACCGGCAGCTTGTATAAAATACGTGACTCTCGGGTTCGTCGTGATGAAAATAACGAGGTTGATCCAGATTACAAGTACTTGTATGCTTCATTTATATGTCATGTTGGTCGTCGTCGACCATCAGAAAGCAAGCACCTGAGAATATCACAGTGAGTACTATGAATTACCTAAGCTTTATATTTAAGATCTAAGTGCATAGGATGTCCATCAAGTTTCAGATTGAAGCTGGAATTCGGACTATATAAAGTGGTCGAACCTGTCAATATTCGACACAACCATGCATTGACAAGAGAACTCCTATTGTCTGTTGAGCCGCCAGTTCGGAGACTTAATTCAGAAGAAAAAAGGAAAATATTACCTCTTGTCGAAAGAAACGCCACCCCTGCTCAAGTAATGAATATGGTTGATGTTGAGTTCGGAGAGCTGATGACTTACGATGATTATCGGAATTTCCGAGAACTGGTGTACCCTAGTAAGTTGTTATATTGCGTTGACAGTATGCATAGGAATGCGAGACATTGACACACTGATCCGTGAAATTCGTGACACATGTTCAGTATGGTGCGTGATGGACAGTCGACGACGTGTGGAAAAGTTTTGTTTCGCAACAAAGGAAATGATAAGTGTGTATAAGAAATTTCCAGAGGTTGTGGGCATGGATTCAGCCTACAATACGAATAAGGAAGGATAATATTTTTATGTTAAACGAATCTCTTGCAGTCATCCTCTATATCAACTGGTCGTTACAGATGGTATGAACAGAAGTTGTCCAGTCATGTACAGTATAACTCATCGTGAAAGACTTGTTGACGTTGAAGCAGTATTACGGTCCTTTAAGAATATCATGGGTGATACATCGCAGACTTTAACGTTTGTAATTGACAACAGTAGATATTATCTGAAAAAGAACAAGAATTATACAGATGTAGACATTGTTATCAGTGTAAACACAATAATTAACCATTAAATATGCTTAAAATGACAAAATAATGATTTGAACTGTATATAATTATGTTAGTCAACATTTTTCAATAATGCAAAGTTGATATTCCATCTGCCTGCTAATATCAACTTTATGCCATCAAATAAGGAAATACTATGCATATATAATTTTTATGTATTTCTGCAGATTTTTATTAAAGAAATACATGTGGAGGAGCCTTGTCAGCATTTAGGCGAAGTACACAACAAAGTAAGTGAAATAATTACCAAAACGAGCTATCCCACCTCATCATGTCCATGTGTAATCCATTAAACTGCAAAATAAATTCACAAAAAGTCGTTATAACATGTGTCTTCAAGTAATTAGACATTTTCTGAACGGAAAATTATGTATTTTCAGCAAACTATAAACTGCCTGTGACGTACGTTCGGATAAGAACACCACCATATGCTCTTTCTGCTAAATAGGCCGCATTTCATCAACTTTTAGCAGGAATATAGGTGAAAAGTGTGAAAACAACGAAAAATGACCTAACCTTGACATTTTTCCAATAAATAACGCCATTATCCATCAGCTGATCAAATGACCTACGTCCGTCTACAGGCTGCCTGAGGATATAGGTTGTGCGAGTTGTATTTTCCACGACTCAGGTTTTTTCGTCTTTCATTGGCTAGAACGGTGGCGGTCAATTGGATATTTGA